TATACATATACATATATACATACATGTGTATATGTATATATACATATATATACATATATATTTATATGTATACACACACACACACATATATATATGTTGTTGTTATGTGCCATGGAGTCCAATCCAACTCATACCGACCCCTCCTTGGGTTTCTGAGGTAGTAGCACTATGGAAGTAGATTGCCCAAAGCTCCTTCCAAGGAGTGGCTGGTGGGTTTGAACTCTGCCAGCCTTCTGGTTAGCAGTCAAGTGCCTTAGGCACTACGCTACCAGAGCTCATATATATATATATATATATATAACATTACCTACCACCAATATAAGTACTAAAGTGTGCAAAATAAAGAGAGTAGATATGCACATTTTTCACTAATATGGGATTCTATAGAGAAGTTATGAGGCCTTCATCACTTCTCTCTAATAAACAAAAAACCTGAAGATACTCAATCATTCAAAAGTCAGTAAAATGGTAAATGGAATATCCTAAATTACTATTTAAGGGGCTTGTTCTCTACTCATTATATTAGACCACACTAGTTTAATACAGAGTTATAAATAACTTTTTAGGACTTGATTTAAAACATTCTATCAAAGATTTTTCTTTAATCCCTATCTTAGTGCATGGGCTAATACTTTATAAGAAAATGAGCATGACAAATAAGTAATTAGATCAATGTAATGTCATAATATATATCATACTGTTTATTAAATAATTCTCAGGTTTGAATTAAGGATATAATTAAGGGATTATACATTTGCATACCTGTGGTACCCATCTGGAGGATACAAAGCTGGTCACTTCTATTACAGACAAGCCAGTCTGGGAAAGCTGATTGATAAATTCAATTTTTATATCTGTAGGAACTATAATCTATGAAAACATAAAAAGTGATTTAATAAGTAAATTCTATAGGATCTACTGAAGCACAACAGAATATTATTTCCTAACAGAAAACAAATCCTATTTGATGATTTGTAAGTCCAAGTAGCAATTGAGAGCACAAATAATAATTTATATATGAAATCCATCTAAGTATTTAAAAGCTTAAGAAATATTAATATTTAGACTTAAAATTTGAAATAAACATATACAATTAATATCAAGATACCTTTTCATTCTGTAATCCATCCCTTGGTCCAACTTCAACTATTTTGACATACTCAGGGAGTCCAGATAACTGCGATGATTCCTGACATATAAAATACAAGAGCAAGAAAAACAGTTCATTCTTGGATTACAACACTTGCTAATTTGAAGCATTAAACACAGATGTTGTTTCATTACATTCCCACCCACAAAAGTTAAAAGAGTAAGAAATCAGTACATTGATAAAATCTACACATCAAGATTACAATATTAGCCATATAAAGCCATTTTTTCCCTGCAATGAGTGATATTTAGTCTAGATATGATTAAATTTCAAAAGATTAATTTTTAAAATGTAACTGTGAAAAAGATGATTTGCCAGGGATTTAACAAACAAATTTATTAGGCAATTCTGCATGCAATGATAAACTCAGCATTGTTTAAGTTTATTAAATAAATATTTCTTTATATTAATAGACTTCCAGCAAGTACAGTCCAGAAAATTGAGACTAAAGAATGTGTGATATTTGCTTCTTCTCTGTGTCAACAGCATAAAAACCAAAACCCACTGTCATCAATTCGATTACAACTCATAGCAACTCTATAGGACAGACTACAACTGCCCAATAGGGCTTCCAAGGCTATAAATCTTTATGGAAGCAGATTGCCTTATCTTCTCCTGCAGAGATGTTCATGTGTTTGAACCAGCGAACTTTTGATTATGAGTCCAATGCTTTAACCACAGAGCCACTAGCACAACTACCACCTAAATGCTACTTCCATGGGAACAGACCCTACAGTAGGATTTAATCCTTAGTGACCTATTGTGAACAGCCTAATCCAAACCCAAAGTAACACCCTATCCTACTTACAGCCCCAAATCTGAGGTCATAGAGAGTCTATATCCTGGAAAATCTGTCCCTAAGTCAGTTACTAGGGACACACCATGTTTTGATGACACTAGTTTAAAACCTTGGAAATAGGAACAGCCATTTAAAACTTCATCCTGCAGTTAACAATCAGATGTAGGGTAATCTTTCGAGACTTAAACCAGTGTTATCTCCTGATACATTCTGAATGGATTTCTTATCATCAACTTCTGGATATGGATAGTTGATGACATTGATCCAAATCAGAAAGACCTATCTTTAAGGTTTTCCTCATTCTTCTTCAGAGGAGATGAGTTTGGACTGACTAATTCATCCTGAAAGACACACTTGGCATTTCTCAAGCTGAAAGAACTAAAGAAAAAATTCAAGCCTCAAGTTGTAATGCTGAAGGAACATATGGGCAAAATACTGAACAATGAAGGAAGCATCAAAAGAAGATGGAAAGAATACAGAGTCACTGTACCAAAAAGAAATAGCTGCCATTCATGCATTTCACAAGGTAACATAAGATCAAGAACCAATGGAATGTAGGAAAGAAGTCCAAGACGCACTGAAGGAATTGGCACAAGACAAGGCTCCAGGAATTGATGGAATGCCCCTTGAGATGTTTCAACAAATGGATCCAGCGATGAAGACACTTACTCCCTTATGCCAAGAAATTTGAAAGACAGCTACCAGGTAAACCAATTGGAAGACATCTATATCTGTGATCATTCCCAAGAAAGGTGATCCAACAGAATGTGGAAATTACTGAACAATATCATTAATATCACATGTAAGTAAAATTTTGCTGAAGATAATTCAAAAACAGTTGCAGCAGAATACTGACAGGGAATTGTGAGAAATTCAAGCCAGATTCAGAAGAGGGCATAGAACAAAGGATATCATTGCTGATGTCAGATGGATCTGAAACAAAGGACACTAGAAAGATGTTTACCTGTATTTTATTGACTATGTAAAGTCATTTGACGGTATGGATCATAATTATGGATAACATTGCGAAGATTTGAATTGGAGAACACTTAATTGTGCTCATGAGGAACGTGTACACAGACCAATAGGCAGTCATTTTAAAAGAACAAGAGGATATTTGCATGGTTTAAAATCAGGAAGGGTGTGTGTCAGGGTGGTATCCTTTCACCATACTTAATCAATCTGTATGCTGAGCAAATAATCCAAGAAGCAGGAGCATATGAAGAAGAGCATGGCATCCGGATTGGAGGAAGACCCATTAAAAATCTACAATATGCAGATGACACAACTTGGCTTGCTGAAAGTGGAGATGACTTGAAATACTTCTTGACAAAGATTGAATACTACAATCTTCAATATGGATTACAATTAACATAAAGAAAACTAAAATCCTTACAACTGGACCAATAAGCGATATCATGATAAAGGAAGAAAGGATTGAAGTTGCCAAAGATTTCATTTTAGTTGGATGTACAATCTGTGGTAGTGTAGTACCTAAGGCATTTGACTGCTAACCAGAAGGCTGGCAGTTCAAACCCACCAGCCACTCCTCAGAAGGAAGGCTGGGCAATCTACTTCTGTAGTGATACCGCCTAGGAAACCCAAGGAGGGGTCGCTATGAGTCAGGTCTGACTCGATGGCACATAACAACAACAACAACAGCACAATCAAACCCATGGTAGCAGCAGTCAAGAAATCAGACCTTGTATTGCACTGGGCAAATCTGCTGCAAAAGACTACTTTAAAGGGTTGAAGGACAAAGATGTCACTTTGAAGACTAAGGTGTGCCTGACCCAAGCCATAGTATTTTCAATAGCCTCATATGCATGTGAGAGCTGGACAATGAATAAAGAAGACCAAAGAAGAGTGAATTGTGTTGTTAACAAAATACTACAAACTATCAGAAGAATGAACAAATGTGTCCTGAAAGAAGCAGCCAGAATGCTCCTTATAAGTGAGAATGACTAGAATTCATTTGACCTACTTTAATCATGTTGTCAGAAGGGAACAGTCTCTGAAGGATATTGTGCTTGGTAAAGTAGAGGGTCAGCAAAAGAGGGGAAGTCCTCAACGAGATAGACTGACACAGTGGCTTCAATGATGAATTAAAGCATAGCAAGGATTGTGAGGATGGTGCAGGACTGGGCACTCTTTGTTCTGTTGTACATAGGGTCACCATAAGTCAATACTGACTTGACAGCAGCTAACAACAAATCATATTGAGAGTCCTGGTGCTGCAGTGCTTAAAGCCCTAAGATGCTAACCAAAAGGTTGGCAGTTTGAATCTACCAGCCACTTTGCAGAAGAAGGATGTGACATTCTGCTTCCATAAAGATTTACAACTTTTGAAATTCTATGGGGCAGTTCTACTCTGTCTTATAGGGCCACTATGGGTTGGAATTGACTCTGTGGCCATGGATTTTTTGTTTGGTTAATTCATATTGTCTCATTTTGTCCATTTAATAGTCACTAGTGTATACAAGTATAGTGATTAGTCTGAATGTAGGAGCCAGTTTGTGTCTATGGCACAAGATACTCGTGGGGTCTTTTAGGGTCTAAAGCAATTATTTGGCTGAGTCAGCACTTTGTGCTAAGATACCAGAACCCAGATGGTACCTTGTTCTGATGTTTATAGATGACCTCCCAAAATTATCATAAAATAATAAGAAGAAACATAGTGCTTTTAAGATGTCAACAAGAGGATGAGTATAATTAAAGAGCTTAGGATCTTACTTTGTGTTCTGGTTACCTAGTGCCGCTCTGACAAGAATATATACCGAAAATGGGATGGCCCTACCTTTTCAGGCTGAGGCAACTCTGCTTCCATTTCCTTGGTCTCCACTTCTGCTGATTAATACCTGAGGGAAACCCACTCTGCCAGGAATCTTCTTGCCCCCAAAGGACAATTAGCTTTCTTGCTCCGTGGGCTGGCCAACATGCTACTCCATTTCAAGCCAATCTCTTCTACCAATTAATGCTCCTGCCATCTGTCATGACATATGCCAAGTCTCTCTGCCAGGGTCTTGGGTCAAGGACGCACTCCACTCCTGTTTCCACACTTTAGGTATCTGTCAGAGCAGCACCCCACTCTCTCAGTATCATATTCTGTTCTGGTTACTTAGTGCCACTCTGACAAGAATATATACCACAAATGGGATGGTCTTAACAAATAGGAGTTTATTCTTACAATTTGGAGACTTTGGGTCCAAGTTCAAAGTGCCAGGCTCTAGGGGCTGGGTGAAAGCCCCTCAGCCTTGGGCTTCAGCTCTGCCTCCAGCTCCCAGCCCACTGGAGCTAGAGGCTTTTCTTCACTCAGACAGCTGCTGGCTGCTGAGGCTGCCAAGCCCAAGGTTGACTAGTAAAAAGGCACAGTCCCAATGTTACCAAACCACATGGCAGGCCATTAATTCAAGTCTATTGTAAGTCCCAAGGCCAGCAGAGCATGGCAGGCTGCTGACAATGACACGCTACATGCAGGGTTCAAGGTGCCATAAGCTAGAGACCATTCCCAAGGCTTCTCTTTAAATACAAGAAGCAGACCAATCCCAAAGGCAGCTACTCAGCAGCTTGTGGTGGATTCCACATTGGAGTTGATTGCCAGTTTCATCATGGAGAATAACTACCACCAGCTGCCCAGCCACTCAACCAGGCCCAGCCAAGTTGACACACAAGCATAACTACCACACTTTGCATCAATTTGTTGTAGCTGGCATGATTAACAAACAATCTGAAGAAATTATAAAATGCCAACAATTATGGCCATTTCAATCATATGAGAATATGTGTTCACATGGCATTACTTTAGATTTATTCCTGAAACTAAATTTATCTTTCTGGACATATGTAAATGAAAAACCAGCAGAAGGTTAGACTATGCTCACAAATTGAAAGAAAAATAGGTCCTTAAAAAAGAAAACAGAGCAGAAGTAAAAACATAAACAAAGACAAAAATTAATGGGAATGAGTTGTTAAATTACAGGGAATGTAGCCAGTGTCACAAAACAAAATGTGTACAAACTGTTGAATGTAAAACAAATCAGCTTTGTAAATTTTCACCGAAATCACAATGAAAAGTTTAAATAAATAATTAAAAATGAAAGTAATCAATACATACAAGTTGAACATGTGTGGTGTGAGGGGTTTTCTTGGTGAATTTTAGTCTCTTCTTGGGCATTACAGTCTCTGTATTAACTTAGCTACAGAGCTTTAGATTTACATAAACAATGCCTAGTAGAAAAAG